ACTTGTGCGCTGCGTACTGCTACAACAACTTTGATAAACTTCTACTATTGCTTCGACTGCTGCTACGATGACGGCGACGATGACGAACTCAAATATCACATATACACACACACACAAACACATACACAGTCTCTCCTTTCAAAACCTCGGAAACATCGAAGCCTTAGCCCCACAACCTCTAAACGCTGAGTAAACCTTGAGAAAGCTCGCCCGACACCCTGCAGGCGCGACCCACTTCTCTGTTTCACCACCGTGCAGGACATCTCGGGTTGACAGCCCTAGCTGAAACGGCCAATGAACGCAGCGCAGGTTCACTTTCAATGCCCGTGTCGTTCAGGGTTTAGGGTTCAATTGAGGCTAATGACTGTTACCAATCTTACAAATTAACGCCCGGCCTGCCGAGCTACAAAGCCACCCGCAGGACAATTCCCCCAAGCTGCATCCGTACGACGCACAAAGCTGAACTCAGTAAGGTCGTAAATACAGACTGGTCAAAACCTTCCGTTAAACTCACCCTACTCTCCTAACGTTCATTCCTCAAGTTCTTAGGCTCCACGGCCACTCAGTGCGGTCAGATCGTGCACAGTTCGGCATCTTTGAGTGTGATGTTGTAGGCGAACTGCACGTTGTTTGCCATCATTATCCCAAAACGCCCTTCTTTGCGAGGTAAGACGAAGCGGGCATCCATGGCTGATGTCAAGGTCTGCTGCTTTTCGTATTCCATCTCCACTCCACGACTCTCTGGGAAGGATTTGCCGTTCTCCATTCCGTATTTCCAGGCCACGAATTCAGAGCCTGTCATAGCATGCTTTCGCACGTAGGCGGCGATGGGTGGCCAGGGGCCTCCCGACTCCTCCTTGGAGCCTTCCTTAAAATCACATTTGCTAAGCGGGCAAAGGGGGAAGACCAATTTCAACTTCCTGACTTCTACTTCAACTCTTAGGGCCTCGGGCCTTCTTTGGATTCATTATAAAACTGCATAAAAGTCTAAAGTTTGGCCGATGGCTAAATAAGCAATCCACCTTCCAGGTGTGCTTCTGCTCGAGCAAGTGTAACATCTGGGCTGAATCGAAGAGCCGCATGGGGTCGTTCTGAATTTTCGTGACGCTGACCACCTTGTA